AAACGTAATATTTTGTCCTAATCATTTTATACAGAATATGTATAATAAATTTATACATATTAATTTAAAAGATCAAAGTTGTGCGTAGAAGTTGTAAATATTTTATAAAATATTTTATAAATTCGCGCGCGGTGACTTGCGCAAAGCGGACTCACTTGTCAATTCGCAGCCTCGCAAAGAATCCTCTTGCTTTGCTACGATGAGGTGAGTACGAGCGCAATAGCCGAGTTGTTCCGATGTCATCCGAATCGAAGAAATTTTGTTTATCGTTACTATAGTACTGACGATGTTCGTCAGTACTAGCATACGCGGAACTGGTACTGGATGAGGGTGAGGAAGTCATATTTTTTCTCTGCTACAAAGAGCAATGATAAAATGTAATGTTAGCGATTTTTTTTATCGACCAACATCGACGATAACTGTTACCAAAACGTCAAAACGAACAATTATCGCCATCTTTGAACGATTCAATTAAACATATCGTGATGTAACCACAATCACACTTATATAGATAAAGTTTCTTTTGTTGGTGCATTATTTAACACTTACTGTTAGAGACAAACGATTTTTGATCACCATTCACATTCACTTTTCTCACACCGACCTCTTTTTCGTTTTATCGAGGACTCTTGATCCATATCGTTCATGTTATCAGAGAAATTTGTTCGTCGAAATTCATACGAAAGATTAACCGCATCGTCCGAAGATGAACAGCACCAGCTGACCGGAGAAAATCAATCTGAGTTTGCGCATTTCTCGCCACTAGTGCAGAATTGTTTCCTGAGTTAACGTCACGTGCACATGTATCATTCCTAATTTGAAAAATTTGACAAGTAAAACAAACAACTGTTGCAATTTTTACATAATTTTACATAACTTTTTTTTACATAATTGCTGCAACGATTATTTTTTATTTTTCAAGTCTTTCTTTCGATACAGTACAAATAGATAATGTTTCAAGATAAAGTTTAAATAGTATAAGTAAAATGAAATATAACTATTTATAGAGAAAATCATATATCATTCTGTATTTATATATATTATCGAAATTTTTAGCCAAATGAAAAACAAAGTTATGTTATTAAACTAAATATTATACAAAATTTAAAAGAAAAATTCTTAAAGATCTGATTAACTGATTATTGTAAAATACATATAAAACATATGTTTAGATTATAAAAAATATATAATGCTTATTAAATATTCAATTTTATATTCATTCGTAATATTATAAAATTTTTATGTTGCTTTACGATATGATTTTATTGTTTGAAAAACGATAAAAAGTTTATTTAACCTATTTTATAGTGGTAATCAATATTGGATTTGTTATATCTTATTTATCTTTTCTATATAATTTATAACTTTAATTCAATTTTTCTTATAATAGAAAAATTAATTTTATTATTATAAAAGAGAACGATTAAAGAAAAGTTCGTGTAAAACAATGTGTAAATGAATACTCTTTTAAGAAGTAATATCTAGATCGCATATATACATATAAACTGGGATCAGGAATTAGCATGCAATTGCGATAATTTATAATTATTATAAGAATATAATCATTTTATACCAAACAAAATTTTGTGTTAATAATATTTCATATTATTTATTTATAATTACCTTAATATTTTTCGAGTATTCCGCATATCCTGCAAACTGTTTCTCCTCGGCATTTTCTCCACAAATTCGATACTTTCAGAAGCACTACGTTGCTCAATCGTCATCTGATACAATTCATTTGATCACTTCGTGGAAAGTCTGAAAATTTAAATTTAAACAGCAATAAACAATAAATGAGATCGTGCATGAGCTCGAACCACGTGTTGTCAAGTGAAGTGACGGGTTTTCATATTTATGAGGAAGATAATCGGCTACATAAAAGATTGTTCGACACGTATTTGCAACCAATACGTAAAGCATCGTAATAACGCGAAAATCGCTACGATTGCGTGATCCTAAATACGGATCAATTAGCGATTGAAGCCTATACGTATAGCTTTTCAAAGCAAGATTTCCATGCCGGTTACAAGCGATCACGAGCTCAATCAAATCTTTAACACGGACATTCCCCCGTTCTTCCCCCGTTATCCCAATCATTAAACGTAATAACAACAATAATCCTCGTTCGTCCCAATTCTAATCGTTATCCAAGAGAAAAGAATCACGTTTAGAAAGATCTTTCAAGTTATCGCGAATATTTCATTATTAATACCTTTCTTCGAAGTACACTCTTCTCTTCACCAAAATATTGATCGAACGATCATCATCCTACGATCACTTATCGAGTGAATCGCGCGAAATTAATCGACGATCGAACAAATCTCACGAATTCTCGAATAAATTTGAATGAAACGAATCAACGATCGAGCGAAACAAACGTTTCGTCACATGAAAACATCGAACGCGTGTCGCTTCGCAGCAATGTTTCATCGAGCTGTGCCCCGGCCGGATCGTCGGTCGACTGCCGATTTAACTCGCGGCGAAAACGTTTCGAAACGTGTTTGCGGGATACGCCCAAGACAGAGAAGGGATTGTTATTTTTTGCTTGCGCGCAGACCAATTTAATTCCCCTTATTTCCAGATGATAATTTTATAGCGTCTGGTGGTAGCAATGTGTCTGTCATTGAAAATTTTTTCTTTATTTCTACGGATAAATTAATTTCGGCAGTTTAGCTCTTCTTGCTCCATCGAAACGATCCTGCGACGAATCTTCGCTTAAATCTGTTACAAGTCCCTCGACTCGAGTTCCAACACAATGTCCAATAATGATTGAGAAAATGTCGGGTTTAATAGTCGAGTACCTTATTAAATGACGAACTTTAACATCCTGTACAATGCACCGTTGTTACGTGAGCACTTGCTAATAACATTAGTATATCGATTTTTTTCTTTTCCTTAACAAGCACTTAAAAGTAAAATAAAAAAAAGAGGTAGATGGAATAATATAAAATACAAGGATGAAAAGAATAATTGTTATCGATGATAATTTCCTGATAATAAAGACGATCGTTTTGATCTATTTTATCCTTGTTTGTTTATTTATTTTAAATAATTATCTCGTATCTTAGAATTTATTTATCATCGATTTTCAAATGGAAAATGCTACGAATTATCTAAAGAAGAATCAATAAGATCCAGGGATGGTGTTCTTTTTTTTTTTTT